CAAACATGGTTTTGGTCATCGTTGCAATTAATAGGAAGTAATAAAGAAAGAGAGGTTCTCACATATAAATATACTATCTTGGACATCTTTTATGATTGTGAGCACTCATTAAAATATGACATGCTAAAGAGTTGATGTTGGAGAAGGAACACAACGTAATGAGTTATGTTTTCTTATATCTGAAATAAAGTATATTGTCATGGATCATCCAACATGTTGAGCTTGCCTTTCCCCCTCATGCTAGCCAAATTCCTTGCACCAAGTAGAGATACTACTTGTGCTTCCAAATATCCTTAAACCCAGTTTTGCCATGAGAGTCCACCATATCTACCTATGGATTGAGTAAGATCCTTCAAGTAAGTTGTCATGTTGCATGCAATAAAAAATTGCTTTCTTAATATGTATAACTTATTAGTGTGGAGAAAATAAGCTTTATACGATCTTGTGATATGGAAGTAATAAAAGCGACGGACTGCATAATAAAGGTCCATATCACAAGTGGCAATATAAAGTGACGTTCTTTTGCATTAAGATTTCGTGCATCCAACCATAAAAGCACATGACAACCTCTACTTCCCTCTGCGAAGGGCCTATCTTTTATTCTTGTCTTATACATTATGCTAGAGTCAAGGTGATCTTCACCTTTCCCTTTTACATTTTATCCTTTGGCAAGCACCATGTGTTGGAAAGATCCTGATACATATATCCAATTGGATGTAAGTTAGCATGAACTATTATTGTTGACATTACCCTTGAGGTAAAAGGTTGGGAGGCAACACTATAAGCCCCTATCTTTCTTTGTGTCCGATTAAAACTCCATACCCATAAGTATTGCGTGAGTGTTAGCAATTGTGAAAGACTAAATGATAGTTGAGTATGTGGACTTGCTGAAAAGCTCTTATATTGACTCTTTCCGATGTTATGATAAATTGCAATTGCTTCAATCACCGAGATTATAGTTTGTTAGTTTTCAATGAAGTTTCTGATTCATACTGGATATTGTGAATAGATTGTTACTTTAGCGTAAGAAATCATATGACAAAATATATGTATGTTGCTGTTATAAGAAAGATCATGATGCCCTCATGTCCGTATTTTATTTTATAGACACCTCAATCTCTAAACATGTGGACATATTTTTCGATTTAGGCTTCCGCTTGAGGACAAGCGAGGTCTAAGCTTGGGAGAGTTGATACGTCCATTTTGCATCATGCTTTTATATCGATATTTATTGCATTATGGGTTGTTATTACATGTTACGTCACAATACTTATGTCTATTCTCTCTTATTTTACAAGGTTTACATGAAAAGGGAGAATGTCGGCAGCTGGGATTCTGGGCAGGAAAAGGAGCAAATATTAGAGACCTATTCTGCACAACTCCAAAAGTCATGAAACTCCACGAAGTCATTTTTGGAATTAATAAAAAATACCGAGCGGAAGAAATACCAGAGGGGGGCCATCCACCGTCCACGAGGGTGGGGGCGTGCCCTACCCCCCTGGGCGCGCCCCCTGCCTCGTGGACCCCCTGGCAGCCTTTCGGTGACCATCTTCTGCTATATGAAGTCTTTTACCATGGAAAAAATCATAAGCAAGCTTTCGGGACGAAACTCCGCCGCCACAAGGCGGAACCTTGGCGAAACTAATCTAGGGCTCTGGCGGAGCTGTTCTGTCGGGGAAACATCCCTCCGGGAGGGGGAAATCATCGCCATCGTCATCACCATCGATCCTCTCATCGGGAGGGGGTCAATCTCCATCAACATCTTCACTAACACCATCTCCTCTCAAACCCTAGTTCATCTCTTGTATTCAATCTTTGTCCCAAAACCCCAGATTGGTACCTGTAGGTTGCTAGTAGTGTTGATTACTCCTTGTAGTTGATGCTAGTTGGTTTATTCGGTGGAAGATCATATGTTCAGATCCTTAATGCATATTAATACCCCTCTGATTATGAACATGAATATGATTTGTGAGTAGTTACGTCTGTTCCTGAGGACATGGGAGAAGTCTTGCTATAAGTAGTCATGTGAAATTGGTATTCGTTCGATATTTTGATGAGATGTATGTTGTCTCTCCTCTAGTGGTGTTATGTGAACGTCAACTACATGACACTTCACCATTGCTAGAGTGACAAAAGTTTAAACCCTAGTTTATGCGTTGCTTCGTAAGGGGCTGATTTGGATCCATATGTTTCATGCTATGGTTAGGTTTAACTTAATACTTCTTTTGTAGTTGCGGATGCTTGCAATAGGGGTTAATCATAAGTAGGATGCTTGTCCAAGAAAGGGTAGTACCCAAGCACCGGTCCACCCACATATCAAATTATCAAAGTAACGAATGCGAATCATATGAGCGTGATGAAAACTAGCTTGACGATAATTCCCATGTGTCCTCGGGAGCGTTTTCCTTCACATAATAATTTGTCCAGGATTGTCCTTTGCTACAAAAAGGATTGGGACACCTTATTTACTTTCAAAGCTTGTTACCCGTTACAAATTACCTTATCACAAAACTATCTGTTACCGATAATTTTAGTGCTTGCAGAGAATACCTTGATGAAAACCACTTGTCATTTCCTTCTGCTCCTCGTTGGGTTCGACACTCTTACTTATCGAAAGGACTACGATAGATCCCCTACACTTGTGGGTCATCAACTACTCGCATAGGATTTTGTTTAGCATCAGAGAATCAAAGTTTCAAACACTATCCCCGTGTTAATAGTATGGTGATCCTGTGATTCAATAATGAGAAAGAAGAACAATGAAATAAATGGTACGTCTTCACTTCGTCTTCAACTTCTCGGCTGCAGTCAATTACTTTGGACAGACACCAAACCGATTGTTTTGCATAAACAATTTTTGGGGGCCACTCTCGACAGCACAATCTTCAGTGATAATCCTCGCTGCCATGCAGGAGATTATCTTCGGAGTTTGAATCAAACTTTTCATGACTCTAGGGACCCGTTACTCTATGTGCACTAGCAAACACTTACTGCCTATGTCAACAATCTCCAAAACATAAGGAGGCAAATTATTGCACTAACAATACCTAGGGTGATCGAGGAGATCCGAAGGCATGTGGGAGCACCGATAGTTGATCTCCAGCAGACAGGTGCGGTCGCTCGCCAAGATTGGCGGCACGGGCACCCAATCTGGGTTGAGATGTCACCCATTCGGGAGATGCACATCGGACCACGACAGCGGGGTGGTCGTGTCCCAATAGAGCTAGCACACCTCCACCTTGACGTATGACCGTGGGCGGTGAAATAGCAAAGGCGGTGGGCGTCGAGATGGAGTAGGCAACGACGCTCCCCAATGACGTGAAGAACGACCCTGCTTCGTGGTCTTGCTTTCTCTTCTTGCCGGGGATCCACTTCCACATCCCCATGGCTGGTCGGCGGCCGGCGGGAGCGAGGGCAGTGCTAGGATTGGGCTTGTCGGGGCACGAAGCGACATTAGAAGAGTGTGGACAATTTCAGAAGTGGACTGGCCGGTCGACGGCTTCATCATTAAAAAGGACGCGTTGAGGGCGGCTGGGAGGCTCATGTGCGGGCCCATCCACACGTGCGGATTAAATGGGGCCGATGGGAACCAGTTGCATTGCTGAGATGTGGGCCCGAGGGCGAACGACGAGAGGACACGTGCAAGTCTATGATGTGTTCGTCTGAGCGTAAATCCGGCTAAAATTTGCGTCGGAATTGGGTCGGGCAAGTCAGACATAATTTGCCCCCGAACGCGAGTGTTGGGCCCATACCTGGCCAAACGGGCCAGCCCAGCCCGGCATGGCCCGCGTCGGGATGAACAATAACTGGGTCGTGCCGTGCCGGCCCACGGGCTGGAGCTAGCAGCCCAGACACGACACGTAGGCGACGTGGGCCGGCACGCCGGCCCGTTGCGGCGTGTTGGGCCGCCTGGCGCATTTTTTTTCTTTTTTGTTCGTAATACCTCTAAAAATAGCGAAAAGGCCAAAAAAATGTAGAAAATTGGAAAATTTGTTAGACTATTATGTGGGATAAATCTAGAGCTTTATTAGCACCTACATCATTAAAAACTTCCATCTCAAATAAGTAAAAGAATACAAGACATGCTATAGAATTACAAAAGGATAAAAAAAATACAAAGGCTGAGAATGGACGTTTGCCTCTCGGCCTCCATGGAGGCCTTTTTTTGAAAATAAATCAAAATTCAAAGTTTCAATTTTTTTTGAAAAAAAGTATGCAAATAAACAAGAATGTTATGTGTATGTGGGTAAAATTTCAGGATGAAAAACATTGAGATGCGACCTGTACAAAAATGATAAATTCATGGCCCGGGAGGATGAATAGTATCATGTGTTAAAAAGCCCTAGATTTGTCTTTTTTGCACAGGCCTCATTTCAACGTATTTTGCCCTGAAAATTTACACACATGTGTTATGCGTTCATGTATATCTGTGCTTTTTTTTCAGAATTTTTTAAAATGCAGAAAATATGAAATTTGATGAAATTCAAAATTTTCAAAACCGAGCTCCATGGAGCTCGGCCTCCAAAGACAATATTCGACAAAGACTACACTATATAACACTACTAATACTCAGATGAAGATCCTAGCGCTAATAAAATATGCATGCACGACAAAAAGTTTGAACATATTAGAGTATTATAGGTATTTATATAGGACATATATAATTATATATTTTAAAAAAATAAACGGGCCGTGCCGTGCCGGCCCGCGTGCCCAGCCTCCAGGACCAGGCACGGCCCATGGCATGCCGCGTGCCGGGCCTGGCCTGTTTAGCCCAGGCCGTGCCGTGTCGGGTCGTGCCGTGCCCGCGTGCTACCGGGCCGGCCCAGTTAGCACGGCCCGTTTGGCCAGCTATAGTTGTGCCGTGGCATTTGTCCCCGGACCAAGGTCGTGCGTTGTGCGTTGGAGTTGACCCAGTCTCATTCGTCTCGCCCGCCCCCGGTTTCCGTTTCCGGTTCCATCCCGAGTTCCGCCTCCGGTCTCTCCTCCGCCGGCGCAGGATGGCGGCGGCCGCGGGCACAGCGAGGCAGGAGGGCGCGGCGCCCAGGGTGGGGCTGCTGTACGACCAGAGGATGCTGGCGCACGCGCCTGCCTTGAACACAGAAAAGGAGACCCCCGAGCGGCTACGCGCCATCTGGCGCAAGCTCGCCGCCGAGGGCGTCACCTCCAGGTACGCGCCGCCAGCGACTCTCTCAAGCGAGAGCAGCGCCACCTCGTGCCCCCCCTTTTTTTTTCTGCATACGGTTCCGTGGAATCGCCGGAGATAGATGGGATGGGAGGTCCTCGCGCGCTCCCGCTGTACTTGATCTGTTTCCTGTTACGACTGTAAATCTGCACGATTATGTTTTGGTGTTTGAAGTGCCCCAAATGGTGAAGGGCCTGAGAAAGGGGGGAGAGAGTATAGATCCTTCATACAATAGGTTCAAACATGTATGCACTGTAGCGCTGAAAGCAGCAGTCCTTCTGGTATTTCTGCAATTTCGGGTACTCCAGCCCTTCCTCGTGTACAGTAACTTGGAATGTCCATTGCTTGCATTACTTTGATTGATTACATTACATTAATAATTGTATGACTTTGCAAGGTTCTGTGGCTGTAGTGTGACATAAGTTTCTTCAGACAATAGGTTCAAACATGTATGCACAGTAGTGCTGAAAAGAAATAGAGTTCTGGTATTTCTGCAATTCTTGGTACTCAAGCCATTGCCTGTGCACAGTAACCTGATGCTACTAGAGTTAAGTTTGAACATTGGCATTATGGCTTCTGTGCTGCCCACTGTTTGCATTATAGGTTCAAACATGTATGCACTGCAGCTCTGAAAGGAACAGAGTCCTTCTGGTACTCCTGCAATTTTGGGCACTCCAGCCCTTCACTTGGATGCCTGCAGGCGTCCATTTAAAGAGGAATTGAAGTGGCTCATTTACAGGGCCAAAAGGAAGGAGTATAGTGGGTCAAAGCTTTCAGATGAACCTAGTTCTTCCTCCATTGTACCTTTTGTATTTTCTGTTCCTTGTTTGTTTTCACTAGGCCTGTATAGCTCTTTCGTTTTATTTCCGAACTTTATTTTGTAACATTTATTTGAAAATCAACAAAAATACGCAGTAGAGTCCTGCTGTTTGCCTTTAAAAAAGTAACTTGGATGCCACTAGAGTGAAGTTTGAACATCGGCATTATAGCTTCTGTGCTGTCCGTTGCTTGCATTACTTAGATTGATTAGATTAATAATTGTATGACTTCGCAAGGTTCTGTGGCTGTAGTGTAATATAAGTTTCTTCCAGGTGTGTGGGCATGAGGGCGAAGGAAGCCAAGGAAAAATATATAGCCTCTGTCCATGCCCGGAAGCATGTAGATCTGATAAGGAAAATCAGCTCGAAGGATAGTTCCGATCTGAAAAAGACTGCTAAGAAATTCGATTCCGTTTACTTCAGCAAAGGCTCCTCAGAGTCTGCTTTCCTTGCGGCTGGTTCTGTCATCGAGGTAATTTCCGTTTACTTTTCCTACATTGCATATGTACGTTCACTAGTCTTATACAGCAATTCTGGTTCCGCTGATCCTGAGTGCTGACAAAATGACTCGTTTGGCAAGTAGGTTGCTGAGAAGGTTGCGGCTGGTGAGCTGAGTTCTGCTATCGCTCTAGTCAGACCTCCAGGCCACCATGCCGAACATAGCCATCCCATGGGATATTGCCTCTTCAACAATGTGGCAATTGCAGCTAACTACCTGTTAAATGAAAGGGTGTGTATTTGAAACTTCCCTGTTGAATGTTCTGTTAAGATCAATATGTGCTATTTTTGTTTATCATTTCCTCTGTAGGAACAATCATATCAATTTGCTATGATGTGACCTACTGAGAACATGGAGTCATTTTCTGACTTACCTTTTTCTGTTGCAGCCTGACCTAGGTATCAACAAGATATTAATCGTCGATTGGGATGTTCATCATGGAAATGGCACGCAGAACATGTTTTATAATGACCCTCGTGTATTGTTCTTTTCAGTGCACAGGTATAACACAACAATTTGGCGTTGCTTTGCTATTTTTGTTTAGACTTCAGACTTTGCTTCCGCAAACATGCAATCCACTGTATGTATACGCATTAGATATAAAGAAGAAGTTTTAGTTGAGACTTTAGACTAGCTTCATAACCTTCACGATATGATATTCGTGAAACCGTGGTAGTTTTGTTGCCTACATTTTTATGGCTTACTGCTTTTTGAATGGATGTAGGATGCTGAGAGCGTTTTCTTACAGTGGATCTCTGCAGTTCATAGAAATTTAGAAACTCCATTTCTTATTTACATGGCATTAACAAACTCATTTTTGATATTAGTGAGCTCACCTTACTATAATGCTCTTGGATATTGTACCTGTAATGATCGGGATTAAGTCTCCTCAGTTTTGTTGATCCAGTTGGGCTGTATAGCACGACCTAAATGCTTGAGCCCAGTTTGTGATTAATGTGCCATGGAACCTATTAACTATTAATCCGTTGTCAATGGAAGAATCTATAACAGATAACTTTATACTGTAGGCTTATTCCTTTTTCTGTTTCATCATGGTTTTACCATTTTACTTCCTATGTCGACACTACTAGTATTGAAATAGCCTGAATTATCTGTTCTAAACTTCTAATCAACATAGTATGGTTACTTTATTTGTCATTTGAATTGTCACCTGCCAACCCTTGATTTTGGTTATAGTATATTAATCAATTCATTGTGTTTACTTACTATTGCTATCTGAGTTTAGTTTCCCATACTACGGTTCATGTTTACATTAGAAAGAGGTGTTTGTAATGCAACTTCAGTGCTTATGTTTGAAAACTGAGTTGTACTTGTTATACAACTCTTGCTCTAATATGTTTGATTTATCTGCACTGTTATAGTCTAGAGCATCCAAAATACATGATATTGATATTTATTCTTTCTTTCTCTGATATATGTGAAAAGTTCTAGCCTCCCAGATCCAACGCCGAAACTCCTTCTAACATTGTTCTAACTAGTGTCAAAAAACGTCTTACATTATGGGACGGAGGGAGTAGTAGGTACTAGGTAGGTACCTGAGGAGAAAGCTGCTGTTCTAACCGCTTATCATTTAAGTTTACATACATGTTACCTTAGCTGATGAATCTACAGATTGTGTAACTTGCCATCTTTGGTAAAGGCCTCTCCTAGAACTACCCAACCAATTCTGATCGAAATCTCAAATTTTCACAGTTGTTCCATTGCATTCTGTTGATCCTTCAGTAATGTGTAAACTATTATTCCAATGTTTGCTCTGTAGATATGGTTATGGAAGCTTCTACCCTTATGAAGCGGATGCATCACACGTTTTCATTGGGGATGAAACTGGTCGAGGGTACAACATTAATGTGCCCTGGGAGCATGCGAAATGCGGTGATGCAGATTATGTTGCTGCATGGGACCATGTACTCCTTCCTGTTGCAGAAGCATTTGATCCGGATATAATATTACTGTCTGCTGGGTTTGACGCAGGTAGACAACTGGAAAATTCTTAGAAACTATCTTGTCCCTAAAATTTAAACATCTAACTAATCTAGGCATTCAAATGAAGCCTGACTGTTGCTATATACTGGCATTGTAGTTTATTCTATGGACTAGATGTGCACTGGTTCGAGTACTACACCTGATATACCTGATTTCCTTTTTGCGTGACAAATGAGATCTTCACTGAAGATATTTTGACAACCGCTGTGGCTTTGTTGTATTATATTGCTATTACATGCCAATGGAATCAAAACTTCTGTGTCTCATATGACCATGCATGTTCTTGTTACTCACTGGTTTTGAATATTTTCCCTGTTTCTTTTTTGCTAGCACTGGGTGATGATATGGGTGATTGCTGCATCACTCCAAATGGATATGCACTGCTACTAACAAAGGTATGCATTTGCAGGTTTGCAGCAAAATGACCTTTTATTAAACTCACTGAACCATGCACTCTCCTGGTCTTAAAAACATTTTTCATTCTTGACCTTGGAGTTTGGATGTGATAGAGTAGCGTTTATGTTATTGCCACAGTCATTCATTTTTGTTGTCATGCTTTGGTGTTACCTGTTAGAAAATTTTCATTTGATCCCATCAATTTATTAGTATTCCTATAGTTTTTTTGGACTTTCTACTCAGCTGATCGATGCTTATGCCTGTCTACATTTTACCTGCAGCTGTTAGGTTTTGCAAAAGGAAGGATTGTGATGGCCCTTGAAGGAGGTTATAACCCTGAGTCCATAGCAAACTCAGTTTGTGCTTGCGCAAAAGTATTGTTGGGAGATAAATTCACACTTAACTCTCCAGAGATGCAACCATTCGAATCTACATGGAGAGTCATACAAATGGTAATGGTCTGCAATGTACTATTTCTGTCTAATTTTGGTCTCGCTATGCGTATCTGTAATTTAGTTCTCATTCCCCCTCACACTGACCAGGTACGCGATGAATTAAAGACATACTGGCCTGTTTTGAGCAGTAAGCTTCCGGAGAACGTATCTTTGAGGAGTACGCCCTCATATATCCAGGTGAATTTCCTCTTTCTATTTTCTTCTTCTTGGGGACTTGAGTTGGGGCCTGCTTGGTCTGACCTCCGACTAATGAATTGTGCTCTTATGTATGAGATGTGGATCGCTCTGTTCCAGATCCGTTTGCTGGGAAACTTGACACCATCTTCTCTTACTTTTCACCAACATGTCATGACCACAGTTGCAGCTTTCAAACCACATTCTTAATGGAAGATTTTCTTTTTGTTCCAGGGTTATAATGAAGCACCATAATGTAGCCCAATTTCATAGATGAATGCATGTTCACGAGTGATGTGGACTGTATTACACAGCTCAGTTGATATGCTATTTCCATATTATCCGCAGGCAATCCATACTTGATGAACCTTTTTTTGTTGTTGTGATCAATGCTTCATGTGTATACTTATTCTGAGGTGCCTATCAACTTTCAAACTCTTAACTCTTGCAAAAGAACATACAGAGTTATACAGCTCAACTATGTTTGTACTCTGCACTTAAATTATCTTGTGCCAATAGTCTCACATTTGATTTACTCCCTCCGTCCCAAAATAAGTGTCTCAACTTTAGTACAACTTTGTACTAAAGCTAGTACAAAGTTGAGACACTTATTTTGGGACGGAAGGAGTACCATTTATGCATCTTGATGCATGGAGGCTTACTGTATAGCTGAGACGATCAATAGGAAATATTAACCTGATGGTGGAGCCCTTGAATAATTTCTCTTTCTTGTTTTCCCCATTGGGGAATGAACAGCCATGCACTTCCTCTGGTTCTGAATCTGATGTTTTTAGTACGATATGCTTGGAGATCCGCATTGTCAAAAGTTCAATATTTGGTATGCCAGCTTTGGTTCAAACATGTGGAAACCAAGATTCTTGTGCTACATCGAAGGGGGTAAGGTAAAGTTGAAAGCACATTGTAATTTATATATGGCAAGGAACATTTAGGTTCCTCTATTTAAAGTTTGTAGCCCGTCGCTGCATTCATCACGTCATTGATTTCTCGGGGAGATTTCAGTCGGTGCACCCCTTTCAGTTAATGTAACTCAAATCACTTATGGAGGGTACTTTTGTACCTTCCGCACAAATCGGGAATAAATATTTGTCCACTCCATGCATTAGTCTGTTACGCACCGGTGTATCAATTCAATTGGGGAAGCTGCTGCCCGGAACAATAGCAGCTCACGCTTGCTCCACGACGTTCGAACAAACCTTATCTAGCCCATGGCTCTTCATGCCTTCCTCGCTGCTCCTCTTAGTTTGTTTGATCTGGCACTATGTGAATCACAGACGTCGACCTGGGGATCGGTGTCTATGAGTGCAAAGCTTCACAACCATTCGCTAGCAATGACCAAAGAGATTGATGGCCTATTTGATTCGCAGGATTTTCAAAACAAGGGAATAGGAAAACACAGGATTGTAATGTCATGTTCATCTCAATCCTACATGATTTTGGGTTGTTTGATTGCATCATAGGAAAGACAAATTATTCTTTCAAAGAGGTTTGAGTGGATGGTATAAATCCTATGGGAAGTAGTACAAATAAATCCTTAGGAAAAATTCCTATAGTTTCAATCCTATGAATCAAACAAGCAACATAGAAAAAATTCCTAAGGATTCTAATCCTCCAAAATTCCTATGAAAATCTCTTGAATCAAAGGAGCCCTGAACTGACTGTGGCCCCTTGTTGTATCTTTCACTCCTGCTTCTATAAGGGGAGAGGAGGGGGGCAAGCGTGATGTAAGGAGATGCGGACGGGCTGAGATGAGGTTGGGCCTGAAGGTGGGCTGTATGAGTTGCACCATGCTCAGTACCCCTCGTCG